ACAAAAAAAAAAAAAAAAAAAAAAGGGCAAGAGGGGTTTACTTGGTTTGCTTGCTGTTTGTTTTAAAGAGGATTTTCAGGTTGAATATATCAAACCACTTCTTTTTATCAGCAAAAAAGCAATATGGGTCGTTCAGGTTTAAGTTGAAAGTCCATGAAAGAAAGGAAAGACTTGTTTTTAATGAAAAATACAGCAATAAAGCCTATTGCAGCACTCGCTTTAAAACAAAATGTAATTGGATGAGTTCTGCATGTAAGGCACGGATGCTAGCAGTGCTATTTTTAGACGTGCCAAGTGACAGTTCGTGCTTACCAAATGTAGGCAGCTGCTCTTGCTTTAGAATAGGCCTGGAATACTTGCATTAAATGCATGAGATTATAGTTCCTGTTGTATAAAATAAAGCTTAAAATGGTTTCTGTGAGGAAGGATCCTGCTTGGCAGGGCTGCTCCTGAGAATTGGTAGGGGGGTTTGTTTTTCTGTTTTGTTTTTTTTTAATCTGCTGTGAATATCTTGTGTATAAGTTAAAGCCAGAAAACTGCTTCTAGGAATGCTTTTAGTCTTTTACTTTAGAAAGAAATGCAAATACTTGTTTCTCATCAACTGGAGAAAATAAATCAATTTCATTGTGCACTCTCTTGGACTGAAAATTACAAATCAAGTTTTCAGTGGCCTGTGACACTCGACTTCCCTTTGAGGAATTTACAATGAAACCAGATCTGTATGTCATGAAGCTGAGGCTGTGCAGTAGTTCTCCAAATGGAATGGAGGCCGAGCAAGGAAAAATGCTTCGTGTGCAGCACGAACTATGTTCTTGACGGGGGGAGGTCCTTGCTTGGGTTTTCTTTCTTAATGATTGCTGAGAACAAAAGACTTGAGGATGGGTTGCTAGGGGTCATTTGGCATTTGTGGTGTGCTTTAATTCCAGCATTTACCTTTGTATCTTGTATGTTAGAAACTGTCACAGGGATGAATTACTGTCTTTATGTTCCCGTCTTCAGATTCCTTGTAACTGGGTTCAGGTTTAATGTGTTTACTGCTTGTAATAAGTCCTTGCTGCTTGTAATAAGTGATTTCTTACAAAGCAGTAAGAACCTGCTGTCAGTGGAGATGCTTTAAAACTGTGTTACAGAGGAAGGAGTATCTCATTTACAGAACTAATGCTGTTTGCAAGTGGAGAGGGGTAGGGCTCATACTTAGTGTGTCACACGATATGGGAACAGCACTCAAATTTGAATGTATGAATGCTCAGATTGCAACATTCAAAATAAATATAGCTTCTGTATTTGAAGCAAATACAGATAAATTACTGGTGGGTATTTTTCCAAAGCTATTTTGCATGATTTAGGAGCACAAAATCCAACTTCTTTATTTTCAAGACTGTTTTTCAAAATCTCACCCAGGTCTTAGGGATACTTGCAACTCAGTTGAGGCTTACAGTTTATAACCATTTTCAGGTCAAGCTCACAATTTTAAGTTCCTTTTTACATTCTAAACTGAACATAAGGTGTGCAGAAACACTAGTAGATGCTTTTTTGAATAGAAGCAAAGCCAAATAAACCAAAGAAAATGTTCTTAAAATTAGAAATTGTACTCCATACAAAAGGAATTAACTATGACTTGGAGTTTTGTTTATTTGATTTTTTTTTTTTTATGAATACCAAAGAGAAGTTACCTTGCTCAGAGTTTTATTTGTTTGTCAGGGACAATAGGAGTGCAGCCTTGTAACATGAAGCGACCCAGCAGAATAACAGGTCAAGAGGGTGTGCGGGGAGCTTGGGCTGCAGTTCAGTGAGGACTTTAGATGGGTGCTGTTCTGAGAGCAGGAGTCACCTCCTTCAGCTGGCTGCTCTATCTCTCACCCCATATGTTTTGTGGAGTCACATGGCGAACTGCAAGCAGAATCTGATCTGGCTGGCTGCTTTGTTTTTATTTTATGGTTTTTGGTGCAGTGGCACACAGACAACCAGGCTGGTTCTGTGCATGGCCCGGAGGAAAGGAGTGGAACTGAGTGGTGGTAGAGGGGTGAGGCTGTTTCTTTCCGCAGCACTTTTGGTTTGTGATTAAGTTTAAGATATTTGTGCAACCCTGAGCTGGTTCTGTCTGTAGAACTTAATTCACGTTTCAGTAGAAATTTCCTTAAATATTTGCATTGTATATTTTGCATTATGAAAACAGCAGCTTTAAGTTTATTACTGGAGTTCTCAACTTTCCAATGCCTGCTGCTCAGTATGGTTTCCATATGGAAGTAATGAGGAAAAGACTTGAGCTTCTGAAATACTGTGAAATAGCACTGTAACCCCGGTGGCATTTTCATGTTGAACCTCTAAAGGGATTATGCAGACTTTGCCCCCCAGGGGCTAAGTATTTAATGTTTGATGCACTACCATGTTTTTATCCTGTGAGAGATATCAGTCAAATTTTATCTTAGTTTTCTTTTACAGTCATTCAGAATGAGAATCTGTTCTGAATCGTGATACACTATTTTATAGTTAACTGTGGTGATGCTCAGAATGAGGGCAATTTCCTAACCTTGTGGTGTAATAGTAATAATTTTTCTCTAATTTATTTTGAGTTCTCTATCTGATATATTATTGCTGTTAGCAAGCAGTTTGGATGCCGGAAAGACATTTGTTCTTCTGAACATCTAATCAGCTGTGGAGGTAGAAATCATGAGGAGTGAGTTTTACTGTGTGTCTCGCCATGAAGTATAAAACTAGACTGGATGTCCCTGCGCGGTTCTGTACTCAGCAATGCAGAATAATGTTTGCCAGATTTCATGTTTTCACTAAGGTAATCAACTGCAACAACACCTTGAACCAAACAAATCTGCAATGGATGGATGAAGCCATTACCTGTGACCTGTGCAAGGATGTAGCTTACTTCTAAGAATGATACTGAAAATGGTCTAATACTGTGTTCTTTTGTGAGCGTCCCTTAAGGAAAAAATAAACTCTGTCTACCAATGGGAGTAGTTGCATTGGAGTGCAGGAGATTCGACCTGGATCAGACTTGCAAAGACATAACGGTTTAGAGATCTCAGTGTTTTGTCGTGTGTCATAGCAGGGAATCGGAATCGATCTCTGCAGTGAGTGACCTCCACAAATTGCACAAAAAAAAAAAAAAAAGAAGCACAAACTGCTGTGGTTCTGGTGCAGAACACGACACAGTAATTGAAGAGATTAATTCTGACATTGCTTAAGGGCAGCATTGTTCTTAAATTTTAGCAATTACATTTGAGGTAATCCTAATAACAGTAATCTCAATAATCTGAGGTCCAATATGGAATCAGTGCTAAAATAACATCTTTCCAGTTGCAATTTCAACTCTGATTTGACAGTGAGATCGCAAACTCCATTCTTGATGACTGTTGACACCCAAGTGAATGATGTTTTACTGTTTTCATATGGATATAAAAGGTATCTTATTCTAATCTCTTATCTTTAAATTTTAGTTGTTGACCTCCTTTACTGGCGAGACATTAAGAAGACGGGAGTGGTGTTTGGAGCCAGCTTGTTCCTGCTGCTGTCATTAACAGTGTTCAGCATCGTGAGCGTGACAGCTTACATTGCCTTGGCCCTGCTTTCTGTGACCATCAGCTTTAGGATATACAAGGGAGTTATCCAGGCAATCCAAAAGTCTGATGAAGGCCACCCGTTTAGGTGAGATTTTTCTTCTAATTAAGAACAGCGGTATTGGGGAACAGCAGTATTGGTGCTGTTCGAAGCGGTAGATGACATATGCTGTAAAATATTGCATAATCATGTAAATAGACTCTGTACTGAAAAATCTGTTACCCGGCCCATTACTACTACTACTCTTTCAATTTTTCTCTTTAGGCATGCGCAGAGGTAAAGAGAATGAACTGAGCACTTGGTACAGGGAACTTCCCTCAGAATGCTACAGTATCTTAAGTTACATTAAAAATTATAAATATTTCAATCTAATAGAGAAGTATGTGCGTTATAGGATGGTATAGTCTTCAGAAGGTGAACCAATGGTGGATGATCTACAAAACTTAAAGAATGCCAAGGAGATGCAGCACTTCCACTCTAATATATTTAGCAAAACTCAGAATAAGTACAGCAGGGGATGCTTTCATCTTTTGGAACTTTAAAATAAAGAATCCTCTTAAAATTTGTGTTTGGGTTTTTAGCAGTATAGGTGTGCTCTACACATACAGGGCTGCTATGGCATCAACGGTATCCAGATTCATTGCAGCTTGTCCAGATCAGCAATCCAGAAACTTGGACATTGACACTTGAACTTGGCTGGAGGCGTTGAATCACAGGATTAATTTAGGTCCTTAAAGAGGACCTCTGAACGCTTTCCTTTAAGTGATGAGCTAAGTCCTTGGGGTATACCATGTGCTCGCTTCCTGCAGTGTGGGAATATAGTATCCATTGCTATTCATCCTTTCCTGTGTGGAGTACAGTGGGGCCTGTTATTGCACAGCTGCATCTCAAGAGAAAAATATAAACCCCCAAACTTGGTAGTATATCACGGTAATTAGAATGCATGTTTCCTGTTTCCATACCAGCCCTGTCCACACTGCTCAGACTTGCTTCTCTCGTTTTATTAATCATTGAAGTGGTTCCATCTCAACTTCCCTCAGCTTCAGTAAAGTAAAATGATTAACATCCATTCCTCCCTGACTATGTGAAGCAGCTCATTTACCCAGTGGAAGCCAAGCTGTGCCTAAACCAGGTGTGGGAGAAAGCTCTGGAGGAAAAAAGAGTATTTGCTTTCAAACTTAGACCTGATATGAAGAAATACATATGAACAATTGACACCAACATTCAGTATAGCAGTATGAAATGTGTATGTTTTGTAAACTTATGTTTTTGTGATTATTTTTTTAAATCGAACAAAAATATCCCAGGGCAGAATCCCTCCCGAAATGAAAGTAAAAACTTTCAAAAAAAAAAAGTAAAAAAAGTAAAAACTTTCCAAAAAAGTTAACTGTGGTAGCTGTAGAATGAGAGTATGCTGTTCCTGATGTGCTGCACTGCTCCTTCTCCCTCCAACGTGCAAATTAGATAAATTGTTTGCTATTTAAGGAGTAAATTGCCATAGCCACTGCAACTACAGATAAATGTCACAGTGCCGTGGAAAGTGCACTTAACTAGATAGGAGCTTGCGTGTTTCTGTTAAAATACCTGCTGTCACTCAGAATTTTTTTTTTTCTTTTGCAAATGATGAAAGTTGCTCATTTTACCCTGCCTTAGTGTGTTTGTTGCAGCTCAGTGTTAGCTTGAGATTTCTCAACCTATCCATTCAAACCTCTGGAAAGCATTTCTGAAGTTAACACTGAGCTGGAATCTTAAGCCTGGGAGAATATTAAGCTGCCTGATACAACAGCAAAACCTGAGAATGACACCTCCCAGCTTGTCTGTATCATTCTTTTAAAGTAGTGGCTTTATCAATGTATGATATTACAGCATATGCTGAGGAGTGAGAAGTGACCGCACAGACCAGAGCGGCGCTGGGCGCTGTTTTGGGCCCTCGGTGGCCCTGGCTGTTTACACACAGATCCGTTAGCCAGACAGCCTTTTTTGCCTAGTCCAGGTAAAACGGTGTGACATAGTAAATGCACTAGTGCTACGTCGCAGTAAGAGAAACTTCTTGATTCCTGAGAAGTTGTGGGTTTGTTTCTTAAGGTTCACTTTTACCTTCTGAGAATAACAGGTTAGTTTTATCCTTTTAGCATTCCTCCTATGATGAGGTTTTCTTCTTTATAACATAAAAAGAACTGATACTGATGCTGTGTATGTAACATATGTTGATACTGCTTGGCAGCACGCTTGCAGTAGTTTCATAAGCTCTTCTTTCTTGCAGGGCTTACTTGGAGTCTGATGTAGCTGTATCTGAAGAGCTTATTCAGAAATACAGTAATGTTGTGCTTGGTCACGTTAATGGCACAGTCAAAGAGCTGAGACGTCTCTTCCTAGTCGATGACTTAGTTGATTCTCTGAAGGTAAGTTTGCCTCAGCTGCAGATACAGCAGCCTTATGTAAATAGATTCCTTGCTGACCTGGGTTAGCAAATCCCACTAGTCCTTATAAATGTGAATGAACAATAGCTCTGTATAAGTGAATAATGAGGTTTAGTTTGCTTCTTGGAAGTAATAACCCTTTTTTGTTTTTCAAGAAGCATAGCTTTCTGTTAGCCACACTGCATTGAATATGGAATGTTCTTTGCTGTATTAGAGTGGATAACTTTATCTGCACTTTTTTTGCAGTATAATAAATGTGGACAGAAAACTGAAATAAGCTCTGGCTGCATGTAGTTCAGCTGTTACACCTTCTCGCTGGTGCTTAACAGCAGAAATCTTTTAAGAAAACGTGACACTGCTCCAATGTAGACATTCGGGATGGGTCATCAACCTGTAGCTGTTACTCTTGAAAATCTGTGTTTTGGGCTAGACTTGGCACAGCCTGTTCTGGTTTTGTTTTTCTGCTTGTTTCTGTCTAGAGAGTAACGAGCGGTTAGTGTACGGTTACTTGCCTTAAACAATAGGAGTTCTTGTGTCCGCTTCTTTTGCTGGAAGAGTGGGTATTTGACTAGGAAGGTGGACGCTTAGTTTCTGTCCCTGGATTTGGGTCTAAATAGCTACTTCTTCTAGTGTTGTGAATTACTAAATGGGGTTTTGCAAGTTACTTGTTCTAAATCGTGCAATACTGCCTAAGAGGTATTGTGAATACGTCCAGATAGTATTTAATGGGATTTATTGAAAGTGGCAGAGCAAAACTGACAGTGAAAAATAGTCCTAGGAAAAAAAAAAGTAGCTGACAACCCTTTAGTTTTGTTCTGTGAGAACCATATTCTCTCTTTTCAAGCTAATCGCCTTTCTTGGTTTTTCGAACAGTTGTTTCCTTTGCCGAGTACAACGTGTTGTCCATTTCTTTTTCAGTTTGCTTAATCTTCTTGAAATAAAGGTGCATTTATCCTCCAGTAAATCTCTTTAGTGCTTTGTAAAGTCCTTTGAGCTCTTGTGGAGTGGGGGGAAGGGGTTTCTAGTGAAACTTGAAGAAAAATAGGAAGACTGTAGAAGTCTTTGTTATGTTGTGGAGTAAAAATCAGAGGCAGATCCCAGGATCTTATCTGGAGTTTCTAGATCCAGTTTCTCTGTCACAAGCTGTTTAAGTTGAAGCATGATGAGAAGTTGGACCTTATGCTGTGCAGGTCTCCTGCAGGAAGAGACAGGAAAGATTTTAAGGTTGTTGGGTTGTTACTTGGGGTCTGCTGCTGTGATAAAGACTCCTTTTCTGAGAAGGGAAATAGGAGATGGGATATTAGCCTGGGATTTTGTGTAATAATCTTGGTGTTCCTGAAGTAAAGTGGCTGGGGTTTTTTTTGAGGTGGCTGTGCATTGTTATTTTCTGGACACAGTTGATACTGTTGCAGCCATTTCATGGCAGACTGGCTTAAATAAAGCTGTTACTGTCTGTGCCTTGCTAGTGTTTCCACACAGGCATTGCATTTTGATGGCTAAATCAATCCCGCCACTGCCTGTCGGTCTGTCTGCAAGAACCTACATCTTGCCTTCATGCTTAAGTGACTGAGTACTTAAGATTCATCTCTGCAGCATCTCAAGGCCACAGCCTTGACCACCAGAATTACTGTTACATGGCTAAATTGCATTTTGATAACTTAAGCTTGATGCTTGATGGAGGAAAGAAACATACTCTTTGTTTATTGTATTTAAGGGTGTTGAGTTTCAGTGTTCAAAGAAAAGTTACTTCACTTAAGTCGTGTTTGGATCTGATTAAACAACCTCACAGAAACACCAACTGGTCACAAGATCGCTTGTATTTCTTTAATAATTAAGCCCTTTATGATGTGTTCCTTCATCTGCGTTAGAAGAATTTCCACACCATTTATTTAGAGATCACAATCCCTTGCAATAAAGGAAGAGGAAGCAATGAGCAGCCAACTGCTGTTTCAGTTAATGCTGTTTTAAAAATTAGGCCTTTCAGAGGAATTGTGTGAGAAGTAGAAGTAATTCCAGTCAGAATGTCTTCAAGGCACTCTGATCCAAAATATTATGGTATATAGGAAAGACATGTTTATTCAGCTGAACAAATTAATTTCACTTCTCCTGATATTTAAAACAATTTGTGTAGGTTAATTAGTCTAATTTATGGTAGTTGGGAGCAACCCTTATGTGAAACCAATGAATGTCAGGACTGTTCACAAGCACGAGTTACTGATTTTGAAGAACTTGTGCTTGAGGATAGCATTAACGTGCTGGAGTCTTATGTAACAACACATAAGGGCCTCGGTTTAAAAAAAAAAAAATATTTTGGCTCGAGTAGTTTAAACATCTTCACTATAGGAAACAGTGTGTTTGTGTATAGTTAAAGTTACAAAGCTCTAATGTAGAAAATGTCTGTGGGTCAGTTTACTGCGTGTAATAGTTCTGGCTGTAAATTCTGTCTTGTTAAGATTTTTCTTTCTTTTTTATTAAACAATGCTTCAGTCACAGGAGTCTTAAAATGAACTCTAAATATTTATGCAGCACAAGGAGCAATTCCTCACAGCCCTTCAGGAGCATTTCCAGCAGAGCCCTTGCCAGAGAGTCCCAGGAGAAACTGCACTTTGTCCTGACATACAACGATCTAGTGCTCTGCCCCCACGCTGTGCCACGGCAGCTGCTCTGGCAGTTCTCATGAGTTTTTCTAGGTTCTAAAGAAAAAAAAGAGAGAGACCAATATGTAAATGTGGGATTGAGATCAACTCAAATTAATTGTGAGAGTGTTGTTTAACTGTCAGAAATGTGTGAAGAAAGGAGGAGTTGTGGGAGAGGGATTCTGAGGCTTTTGCTGAACTTGATTTGCTTTGGTAGCCCCAACTCTCAAAGTGACTGTCCCTTACTGACACGGCAGAGAAGAGGGTGATCTCGGTTTCTTCTCCTGCCCAGGATGAGTAAGTGAAGTGGACTAAAAACGGCACACGTGATGCATGTGCAGTTTTTTAGTCCACTTCCCTTACTCGTTAGACCTTGATGCTGCTCTGGGTAGACTTTCTGAGAAGCAAAGCCTGTGTCAGTCAAATGTTAACTCTTGGATTTTGATCTTTCTTGGGCCATAAATTCAATGCTTCCTAAATAGGATGGGATAGTCCTGATAATTGTTGGACTTTGGGATTGATTCTTATCTGTTACCTCTCTCCTTACATAAACTCATGTTTTCTGGCTTGGTCATAGTCTTCAGCAATGTAGATGTTCACCTGCCTGGGGTGGTGCTTGGCTCTGGTAATCGTGTGGATTCAGAGGAGATCTCAAGTAGCTGTCAAGATGCTTTTGCTGTGTGTGTGCTTGAAGCTGGCGTATTTAATTTATTGAACACACAGCCTGCTAAGGAATTGCTCTGAATCATCACAAACTTGGGGGCTTTTTGCTGTAGTAAAAGTTGTTAATTTTCCTCCCTTTGCTGGGGAAGGGGATGTGCTGCATGTGCAGGCTTACACTGAAAGGAATGGGTTTGCTTCCTTGAAATGTCTTGTGCAAAGAGGCTGGCAGTCAGCTCCCACCCTGGTATTGCAGAGAACAGAACTGGGCCAAGGTTTGAATGAATCATGAGGGAGTTCAGAGAAATCTGCTTTATTTTTCTTGATAAACCTGCCAAAAATCCTTCAGTGGGAATGCAGTTGCTGGTAATATTGCAGCCATGTCTGAGACTTGACTTTGTGCCTGTTGTGCTGCTTGCGTCACATCTAGAAAGAACTGACAGATAAGAACTGCATCATTTGCAGTTTAATCCTACTGATTTTTGAATGGGATCAGCTTTGAATGAAGCTATTGAAGTAAACTTTGTTTCATTACAGGGGTCAAATGATTAATCTTGTATTGATTGTCATGTTCTCTATCTTACTGTTGGCTGTTGGTTTTATTTGGCTTGGATATATTGCATCTTACGATAAGCTAAAAATGGATGTTTGGATACATAACTTCAGAATAACTTGGCTTCAGAGTAAATCCCTGCCTGCACCCACAGTCCTTTGACATGCTTTCTTTTCTTTCCAGTGCTTGTACGTATCTCTTCCTTGCATTTATCTTCAGCTTATCAGAGTGCTTCACCTTTGGTTGCTAACTCTGCCCACGTCTTCTCTCCCTGACGCCTCCCCACTGTGCCTGCCCAGTGTTTTGCGGTGTCTTGCACAGAAAATAACCAGACGTGCTTAATTGCTGCATGGGCTGGGGGTCTCTGCTCTGCACAATGCAAAGCATAACCCAGCGCTTAGCAATAAATAAACACTGGCAAATCCCCTCTGACATCCCGATCCTGGCTCTTGCTCAGTTCTTGATGGGCTGTGCAACACTAGAAGAAATGGGATGTTTTTTTCCTTGGGGGAGGAATCCTACACAGAAATAGAGCTGGCAGCCTTTGGCCCCCTCCCGTCCCAGCATAGGTCAGAGGTGTGCTTGGGACACTCTCCACCTGGCAGAAAGTTGAGGGGCTTGAACTCGGGTAGATCTGTGTGTAAAAGACAGTTGAGAAGAGCTGGTACAAGATGGGGGAGCTGTACCAGTGCAGGCAGTGGGGTGGCAGTGGGCGAGTAGCAGTGTCTGGGTGCAAGTTAAGGGCTGGGAGGTGAAGCCAGAAGTTAGGGCAGTAGGAGGGTTTAAGTGTATGTTAATGAAAGGGATGTCTTTGCTTCTGGGTTTGTCTCTGACATAGAGCCAGGATCCATTTTATGGCACTATTGAACTGTCTCTTTCCTGATTTTTATAGTATCCAAAGTTGCTATGTTTTGGGGATTTTTTTTTTAGGGAAGAAAAAAAAAGACAGACAAGCCAACCTTGCTGTGTTGCCTCCCAGACAGGTTTTTCCCCAGTGTGACAAACCTCTGCCCAATCTCGTCAACTGAGACCTTTGCTGAGCCGAAGCATCATTGTGAGAGTTTGGTGCTGCCCTTTGTGCTGCAGCTCTGGTGTGGACGTGCTCTGCGTTGGCTGTGGGGCTGCCACGCCAATGACCTGCTTTCTCTCCGGATCTGTCACCCCGTGCTGCGTCATGCACCAGTCCTTTAACCTCTCCCTTGCCTGTCTTGTTTTCTCTCTTGGAAGGGTGGGAGGCAGGAATAGCGCTTGCCTGTCATTAGGAAACCTGGGATTGGAAATGCTGTGTAACCACAGAGGGCACGGAGCAGCCACCGACTGGCACAGAGCTGGAGTTTTTAGTCACTGCTGACTTGGGCTGAATTCAGGCCCATGACCTAAACACAAGAAGCCGCCATATCCTATTACTGAACCCTTCAACCATCTTGTCACTCATCTATAATTACATGAGGTGTACACGAGTGAAGTGGAGTTTGGAGCATTTTAGTTTCATACGTGTGTTTAGAGAAGTTCTCTCCCAGCTCTAACGAGTATGTTCTGGTAAGACAGACTGTGGGCTGACATGCTGTTGTGGTTTTTTTTCTTTCTAGTTTGCGGTGTTGATGTGGGTATTCACTTATGTTGGTGCCTTGTTTAATGGTCTGACATTACTGATTCTGGGTAAGTGTTTGAAACTCCGTAAGGTATCTGAAATACAAAATAATCCTGGAAAAGCACTGAGGTCTGCTCCATACTGTGGGGCTGTTCCTGTGTTCTTGAGAGTGTAGGAAGATGTTACAGTTTTGTGTCCTTCTAGGACATCGATAACGCTGCAGAGCAGATAATTTTGAGTCGTGTTTTTAAATTTCTTGAGCTTGCTGATTTTTCCTGACATTTTATCATTTTTGAAAGCCCATTCTGTTGTGCTTCTCCTTCTCAGGGTTAGCTTCACAAACATTATCAGTGTAGCGTGGCTTTGGAGAAGGTACGCAGTTGGATCTGGCTGTGTCCCGCTGCAGATAGTTTTCGTTCTTGTGTCCCAGAGCAGGCTGGCTTCAGGTGTCAGAAACCAACAGACGTTGGCAGAAGCCTAAGCATCCTTTTTGAAGACTTTGCATAACTCACAGCCAAAAAGTGAACTGTGACCAGCCTTGCTGTACTGTTAATGAGACCTGGAGAAGAGCCCAGCTTCTCTTCTTCAGAGGGATTATTTAAAATTACTGGCCAACAATCTTTGCATGTGGCTTGTTTCTTTTTTCTTGTACCTTTTTGAAATAATCGTCAGGGTGTGAAAACTGGTCATTGTTTTACCTGAACACCAATTATTTTGTAAATATTTATACCTCCTCTGTGTTCTTTCCTAGCTTTGATTTCGCTCTTCAGTGTTCCTGTTATTTATGAGAGACATCAGGTGAGTGATTTAGCGTGATTCATTAAATGCTGCATTGAATGAGCTCTGCTGAAGGAAACCTGCACGTGAATAAAACCAAACTGCATTTCAGTCTTCTAGTGTATTTAAAGGCTTTAAAAGACAGGCCTTTAACCAGGAGTCAGTGCCAGGGCCGAGAAAAATCCAGTTCAGTGTGAAGTCCAGACCGCATGTGCTTCCCCTCCTCCTTTCTGGTGGAAGCCCCAGACGGCTTCCCCAGCAAACAGCTACGAAAAAGGCGCGATTAACCTGGAGGCCTTCCCTGCTGATCCAGATCTGGTCAGCGCTAAAGCAGTAAAGTGCGGTGCGTTAATCCTGGTGTAAGCACTTTTCAAACAATCTCTGAAGAAACCACTTTACAGCTCATGCTCAGGATTCATCTCCTGAAGCAAGAGGCGAAAAAGGGAGCAGGGAGATTCTCGGCACCGTCCGGTGTTTCTCCTCTGGAGAGGCTTGTTTAAAGGACAGAGGTAAGAATGAGCCAGAATGAAAAGCATGTCATTAAATTATAGCTTGGCGTGAGCAGGGACTGTCTTCACCAGGTAATAGCACAGGTGGGGGCAAGCCAGCTCTGGCTTAGCAGTTCCTTCTGCCCTTCCAAACCCAAGGCTGCTCACGGAGGCCAGCCCAGGACTTGGGAGGGGAGGCAGAAGGGCGCGAGGCAGATGGCGGAGCCTCCCAGGCTCCTCTCCGAGCTCCTGGCAAAGGGCAGAGCACTCTGCAGGGGCCACAAGGAAGGACGAGGGGCCGTTTGTGGGGCTTATCGCAGGCTCCTCAATCCTCTTGAGGAGCTGAGGACTGCTCTCCAAAGGCATAAGCCGTTTAACAGGCCCGGCCCACCTAAGCGGCTTTCCTCCTCCTCTGCACCCCAAGTCACCGCCTGCCCTTGTGGGGCCCCCATTTGGGGCAGCAGCACCAGTGCCCACGCGGGCGGGATGTGCCAAAGCTGGGCACATGCTGCAGTCCCTCACCCCCGTGGGCTCTGGCATCACACGTGGGTGACCCCAGCCTGCCGCCCCCTGGCACGGGGTGACTCTGCCTTGTGTGTGATGCCCGGCCTCTTCCTTCGCAGGCCCAGATCGACCATTACCTGGGGCTCGTGAACAAGAACGTCAAAGATGCAATGGCCAAGTGAGTCGGGGATTTCTTCTGTCGGTTGCCCTGTGTGAATAACGCGCATGGCTTGGGCAGGGGTGGTGCTCCTGCGCGTAACTAGCGCCGCGCTGCACACACGTGGTGTGGCCTGGGAGGAGCAGGGCCTTTCTTCACATGTGGAATGGTCAGGAAAGGAGCTTGATGCTCATGTGAATTCATGGCATAACATAGAGTATATGCTATGCAGCTATGTTTCTATATTCTATGTTATATATACTTACCTATTTTTTTTCTATAATTTTATATACTGTAATATCAATTATGTAAGTTTCTACACTATATTATATATATTACTGTGATAATAATAATCAGCTCCTTGCTGATGCTGTTAATTTATAAGTTATATAGTATATATTATATGCTATGTCTATAGTTACCTATTTATATTTATTACGTAACTTTACTATATAACTTAACTAGTATCCTATCTATATAAATATGTTTAGGTTGTGTCTGTAGGTATCTCTTTGTACTTAAAATTCATACTATACTATCTAAATTTATGCGTTATGAATATAGTATATAAAGAGTATTTGTTATACATTATATCTGTAGTTATCTCTTTGTATTTATTTCTATGCTACACATTTAGGTAGTATACTATATGTAGTATATATGATATTTCAATCATAAACTCATCATAGAATGGCCTAGGCTGGAAGGGACCTTAGAGATCATTTAATCCAACCTCCCTGTAATGGGCAGGGACGCCTCTCAACTAGATCAGGCAACACATGGGGACCGAACATTGTATCTAGTTATCTATTTGTATTTATAATTTATAGTGTACCATCTAGATTTATATAATATATATGAATAGTATTTGTTTTAGATTATATCTGTAGTCACCCACTTGTATTTATTTTTAATATATAAATTTAGATAGTATACTATAAATTGCATGGCATATAAACAGTATTTGTTTGGTTATATTTATACATTTGTATTTATAATTCATAGTATGCTACCTAAATTTGTATATTATATGATATGTAAGTAGTATTTATTTCTTAGATTATATCTGCAGTTTTGTATTTGTATTTCTATATAAATTTAGAAGGTACATTATAAATGATATAGTGCGCATATATATAGTATTTGTTACATTATATCTAGTTATTGATGTGTATTTGTAATATATAGTATACTATCTCAATTTATATAATATATGAATAGTATTTGTTCTAGATTATATCTGTAGTTACCAAATTGTATTTAATATATATATTTAGATAGGATACAATGAATTATATAGTATATAAATAATGATTGTTAGATTATATCTGTAGTTCTCAATTCTATAATATATAGATAGTATTTGTTACAGATTATAGTTATCTGTATGTATTTATAACTGACAGTATACTAAATTTATATATAGTATATAAATAGTATTTGTTATAGGTTATATCTGTAACTATGTTTGTTGGATTATATCTAGTTACCTATTTGTATTTATAATTTATAGTATACTATTGCAATATAAATATAGTACATAACTAGGAATTGTTGGTTATAG